TACTTAACAACGTTGAAGGAGAGCGAGGGGAACGGAAAAGAAGAAGAAGGGAGGGATTGGGAGGGAGGTAGTGGGTATATGGCACATGCCATGAAGCCCCATCAGCAAAGGCTTTTTTTCGTTTTTAGGGCTGCTTAAGTGGTGTGTCAAGATCTGATTTGGCTTTACAGCTAACTCCTCCACTATACTTTCCGATGAGGAAAAGAGCTGAAAGTAGTTCTTTTTGGAGTGCCCTCAGTGCTCTTTGACGTGGAACGAAAGCAATTTCGTTCGTGACGCGTCTCTGATGAATTCTCTTTTTTGGGCCTTTTCATCAAAATAACTTTTTTCACACAAGTTACGCAGTCTTCCTAGATTTTGCGATAGTATCTGCAATTTTTCATCGAGAGATGGTGAGTCGCCGATAGAGCTGAGTTTTTGGGACTCTTATTGAGAGCTAATCTTGATGAAGGTAATTGCAGAGGATATTCATGCCATTACGAAAGGAAGTCCATTTGCAGCAATACTTCAAACCTAGATGCAATGCAGCAAAACCTTCATCTGACGGGAATCTAATAGTTTCGGTCGCAAGGGTGACTCACAGATGGGACCACCCAATCAATCTTGTGGTGGTGTCGAGAGATGTCGAGATCCACTCAGGAATGTTCTCTTCCTCCGGGTTGTCCTTGAGTTTATGGAAAAGTGGTCGCCTTCTAGCAAAGGCAACTGCTCAGGGTGAGGGTCATCCCTGAGCTTCGTGTCCAGGGCGAACCAGCGACTGGCGATGGCATGGCTGGTGCAAAGCTGGTGCTAGAACTGTTGGGCTTGCTGATGCTGTATGATTCCTACCGGAAAATTCTTGGCAAGTGATCTAAAACTTCCAAAAGTTGAGAAAGTATTGCGATCGACGTGAAAAGAGGCAATCTATTCTAATTTGTGTCCCAAAAGATATTCANCAACCTAACATGATGTAATTGCATTTCTTTTGAAGAGGCGGAGTTGTCCACCCAGAAGTGGCGCCATACCAGTCAAATGCGTGACTGGACGCTCCCCGAATTAAAAGTCAAACCAATCTTCGTGATTTCTTTGTTTCGATTGCTTTCTAGTATAGAAAATCTCCCCACTTTTGCGATTTTCCAAGTATTTCAGAACAGTGGTACTGTGATTCTTGTTTCCGCTTCCCGATCCCCCGGCTACCTTGGATGTGTTTTTATCGTTAAATCTGAGAAAGCTCTCAAGAAATGCGTCAAACCCTGTATTCAGTCATAATTGCATTTGGTCCTGTATCTTAGCTAGCGCCACCTTGTTGTTGTTCTAATTACTTTAACTAGATTGTCGTCCAGATCTCCTGTGTTAGCTATGGGAAGTACGTTTAATTAGGTATTCCCTGAACGATGTGTTGTTCAACCCTTATTTATAGAAAAGGAGCCCTGAGAATCTTGGACAAGTCTTTATCTTCAGCGATAGGTGACTTCTCGGCGAAGAAAAACGATCCACAAATGGTCATCAAGACCTTAATATTCCCCAAACCTGTCACAGATTGGCGGGGAAATGACCTGAGAGGGCTTGTTCTACCATTTCCAGACCGCTTGTGGTCGAGACAATGCTACATATGATTTCTATGAAGGCTGAGTTTTCTTTCCAATACATGCATGTCCGGGAGTTCGACTCGAACAACCACCGGAATTCGAATCCTTCACCTTACTTAGGAATAGCAGCTCCTCTGCCATTCAAATGCTCGCCTTTATGTTGGAAAGAGAATTTCAATGTAACTTTACGATGTATAATAGAGCCATTAGTCATATGTTACCATTTGTTGTGCTCTTGCTGACCGGGTTGTTTCCAGCTGATTGCATCAACAAACTGATTTGATTACTCTTTAAAGGAATACCGGTTCTGTTTGATGTAATATCGCCCAATACCCTTGTATAGTTCTCTTTACGAAATGCCTATCAATTACATGTAGTGACTGTTTACTTGGTAGGTTTGACGTAAAATTCCAAAATAACTGGTCGCACACCAAACCTAATATGTAAACAAGGAGGTGTACATAAAAGAATAAATAGATGGTCTCGGGGCGTTGAGCGATCCCGTCTGAGGGATGCGCCCTGTGCTCAACTCTCATTTAGAATCGTAGTGGCGTATTGAGTGCGTGTATGGCCTATACAATGACTTGTGTTGGCCAGCCGATGTATAAGTCAGTACTTTTATCCTCCCAGACTAGTCTGGTTTAAANCAACCGACCCCGGAGAATGGAAGACTCGGTTTGCCTAGGCGGATATCGGGATTCGAACCCGTGACCATTTGTATGTGATAGTTGGCCACCTGCCACTATACCACTTCTATCCACACATACATATAGTATAATTGGTCTTGAGCAGAGAAATAACCCAACGCTTTATGGAATTCGGCAACCTTAACTCCAATATCATCAGCTCTTCAACTGAAATTGAGCTTCAGTTCTCTTTGTCGGATCACATGTTGAGTTTCTTGAATAGCTGTGACCCGGTTTTTACCTTTTTAAAAAGAATGAGTGGTTTTTCCGCAGTTTTTTATATAATCGCTACCAAAAAGGAGAGATACTTCGCTTTCCTTTCGCTTTTTGACAACACGGTTCATTGTTGAAAGAATCCGCAATGAACGCCGAACTATTCCCCTACCGTCCCAAATTATATGACTTCTACCTCAAGATCGCAGAATTACTTGAGGATCACTTTCGATTCAGCTGATCAATGTTGAAGGAACTCGCAATGAACTCGGACTGTGTTATGCACTTATGGCTCAGAGAATACTATGCATTGAGGGCATAAAACCAGTTCACCTTATCACCCTGTCATCTATGTACTTTGTTTTGTAGCGTTACCTTGATCATTTGGTCAAAGTTATCGAATTATAAAGTACAAGGAATTACGATGACGTAATTCGGTCACAAAGAACGTTTCAGTCTTCAAAGGCACTTGGTGATTTTTACAACGGGGATCACTGCCCTGTTTCATCGATAGAATCAGTGTTCTCAGTTGAAGATCGTTTCGGACAAGGAAGAACCTACAAACCAGTTGAAGGCAGTGGTCCATTATTCATGGAAAGGTGAGGCCGTAACCCATTGATGACATGGTTCATCGAGAACTTTTTCATCTTTTCAACTTTCTCATTGGAGACGATCGTTCACCTGAACTTTTATATCCCTCATTCCATCATAAACAAGCCGGTTTCGAAAGTTTTCTCAGAACTGGGCTCATCTATGATGACATGACTTCGTGCCGAATAAAAGTCGGTAGCGTGTGGCTTCTCATAAGTATCAACTACCAGTTAATGGATGCGTTGTTTCTGATTACTGTCATAAATTTGTCTTACTGTTGGAATCGTAATCCGTCACGTTTTTCCTGATGTTTCAGTTGTCATATCAGTGTTTGCTGATTGAAGGCAATGGCACGATGTCTATGTGTGGCATCATTTCCAGTGCATGATAGTTTTAGCTGGATGTCTTGTCGTGAGCCACTGTTAGCTGGTTGCTCATGTTCTTAACTTGATGCACCCGCGTTACAGTCTAGGGTGACACCTGTCGTAGAGTATACGCTTTGTCTTTCGCCTTCAACTGTCTTGTGAGTCGTTCCTTATTTGGAACGAACTTCAACTCAAGGAATGGAACCATCGCTGGGATAGGGTGGTGATACCTTTTCGAAAACTTTCGTATTCACTGCCATCGAAAACTGATACCACCCTTCTGACCTCAGGAGGTCTAAGTTCTTTGCCATAAATCTCACCGCCTTTTTGACTATGTATGACACTTTAGGTAGTTGATTCCAAAAGTAATGATCAATCTTTTTAGAAGTGTCGGTAAACGCAGAATGTGATTTACAAAGGTTGTGACCACTAGTGATTTCTCCCTTATTTTGTGGTTGGAACAGGTTATTGAGTCATTCCATTCTGATTAACCGGTTTTGGGTCAGTTAAGGACTCCACCCAGTCGTCCTCAGTCACCACTCCTTCGATTTCCGAATATTGTATTTTTTCTTGCCTTCAATGTTGCCCTTCGACCAAATTCATCTTTTCCCGTGGATCCTCAGATCCTCAGATGAAAGTAACTTTACCTAAGTGGTGCTCTGCAGCGCTGGATTTGAAAATGCTCTTTCAAATTGAAAGTACATGGCTTCAACCAGAATTTGATCCTATCTGACTTGCATTTAGCCGTTGAAATTCTTGATTCTTCCGGTCTTATTAATGCAGCAGCTGTAAGCCATACCACTGGAATAAGTACTGTTGCCAGATGTAGTTTTACTACTTACTGTTCGTTCTTCGATGTTCATGAACACCCTCAGTGACATAATTGTACCCTCTACTCTCTATGCGCATATATGTACACTGTTCAGACATGGTCGTTGAAGTGGAGGATTGCGCCCAAAGTAATGCGTCAAAAGTAATGGGACAGATGGAAGTGAAGTGCTTAGAAAAGGAAGTGAATAATGTTACCGACAACTTGATGAATGATTTGAGAGAAGAATTTGCTAGTTTAGCCACTCTAACAGATTTCAATCGGGTCGGAGCGCAGGTATATTTATTTTTGGCTTTGGCTTCCAGATTACAAAATTTATGAGCTTACTCTCGAGGACTATTTCCTCCTAAACCCTCGTTTTCCTTTCTTTCTTCCCTAATTCATCTCGTGCCCCTCTTGCTTTTCACACGTAGAATGTCCTTCGCTAGAACCTCGGGGTCTGAAAGATCAGCTTTATAACCTTCGCATGGGGTTCTTCTTTCCCTGTTTAGACTGAAAAACTTTTTTTGCTTCAAATATTCTGTAGATCCTGAGGTACTGCCCAGTTAACGATTACTGAAGGCGGTCCACCGACGCTGCATTGATATAAAGCATTTTCGGCTGGAAAGTAATCGTAGGATCTTTTCTGAGTTCAGTATCGGAATACGCATACGGTTATGATTTGATCAGCATATAAGGTATAGAGAGAGTAGATCACAGAAAATACATCTCAGTTTTCAATGACAAAATATCACCCGTACATACTTGATGTTCTTTGACCTCACCTCAGGAGCGTAGCGAAGTAGCAGCAGCCAAAATGGCGGTGGAGGCTCCCCTTGTGTGAACTTTCAACGAATATATTGCTTTATCCCAGGTTAAACCACTGTATGCTTCAACAAGCAAAATAGTCTGCGAAATGACCGTTGGGCCAGAACACATCAACGCCAAGGTAAGGAAACTTCATAATATTAAATTTAAGTTACGCAATAAATCGAATAAGCTCAGGAGACAGAAATACTAACATAGTCTGACGGCTAGATCAGCTTATTTACTAATTGGGTGCTAATTATGTTGAATGTGTTGACAGATATGTAACAAAATAATTTCAAACTCAAGTTCTAAATAGTTCAAAATGGTATTTTGAAGGGTACGTTGCATGGAGGACAAACAGCTGCACTTACTGATATTGTCACTGCTCGATTACTTGGTCTTACTATCAGAGATCATCCACTGGCATCGATTGAAATCTCAGTCAGGTAAAGTTTCAAAACTCATTTCCTCTGTTGCTGCACCACTTCTGTAAGATCTAGTCGACAGCATCTTCCCCGCTCCTATCACCCACCCCTTTTCACTGCATTCTTCTCTCGCATCCCTCCCCCTCTCCCGACCTTACCTACTGCTACTTTAACTACTCCTTTGCAGCTACTTCCTTCCGGTCAAGCTCGGTGACGTTGTTGAAATAACCGCTTATGTACTTAAACTCGGCCGAAATGTAGCCTTCACAGAAGCAGAATTTCGGCGAAAATCCGATGGAAAGCTAGCGGCAAAGGGTCGTCATACTGTCGCGATTCTTCCAAAACAGGCGCAAGCTATCGAAGGGGCCAAAGTGGCGCAGTTTTAGGAACGGGAATTGTGTACGGTAATTGTTTGATTGTTAATTAATTAGCATTGTTATTGGAATCCCAATTTACTTCACATGTACGTACAGAGTGAATTACTACTTAAGGAATGTATGTTAATGTGATAATTGCTCGATCTGTTGAGCGATTCTCGCCCATGCCAGAATCGTTAGTGTTCTACTGTGAATAAATATATGATTCGTTTTGCACAGACAACAAATTGTCACCGCCTAGAATTTCTGAACTCAGAAAAGTTGCTCCTCCAAATTAGAGGTATCGTTAGTTGGATTCAAAGTTACCACTTCAGCNCGCATGCGGCAGGTCAGCCCGCGATACTTGACGGACGTCGCAGTTGTCAGTGGGGCATACGATTTGCGCTTGGTCCACGGCAGTCAGCTCGGAGAGAAGATAACACGGACAAATGCAAATCATTCGCTGCACTGACATTTGGTGGTACTGTAATGTCATCTCGAGACCACAATGGGGCGCGCCGCGGGTGTGGGCGGGTTTATCTGTTTTTGGCGGACGCGCGCAACGGACGTTCTCCTACGTACTTGGGTAGGGTGACTTATGTTTTTTTTTCGTCGGTCAGTAAGTAAAAACAAGTGGAAAACAAGGATTACATAAAAAGTAACCTGTGAAAAAAAGGTCGTAAAAAACATTAAAAGTTGCTGGGTTAGAAAGGAATGGACATCGAATAATTAATTTCAGGAACACTAATGAATTCCGTTTAAACCATCTTTTGTCTTTAGTGTGCACACGATCGCGCGGCTGGTCGCGCAGCCGGTCGCAGGCCAAATCATGGACTATGAAAGCAGCCTACCATGACGTACTCCTATTCATAATCTAAACCAATTTGTTATGAGAAAAGCACAACTGGCTCTAATCATTCATTGGCCCTTTGCTCACAAAACAATAATAACATACTACCTTTGAGAAAATTTGGATGAATTAACGAACGTTTATACAAGACCGGCGAAAGTGATTTGTTTCTGATATCTCACAAATATTTGTGATTTCTCAAATGGTGTGATTAAATGGCCTGTAATTCCGCAGGAAGCGTTACTTTTGGATGACGACTTTCAAAATGTTGTTTGTAGGTTTTCGGATCGGGCATCTGTGCCATACATACAACACATTTATGATGCAATGCTTTCTGAGCAGCACCACGTTGGTCACTGCCCTGGGCCTTTTTCAACGCTTCAGCCTAAAACCATGGCTTATTGAAATGGTAACGAAAACATAACCTTGGCGCACCTTTTTCTGAGCTTTTTGTTGAGATTGAATCTTTTGATGACCACGTGCCATCGCAAGAGTTGCTAGAAATAAGTGATCTCACAAAGCGTACCTCATTCACTTTGATAATCATTACCGTAACCAACGTGTTATCATCATTAGATAGAAGCAAAGGTGCAGATCGGCTGTCTTTTCAGACAAAAAATCGACCCGAACAACCATAAGACCACTTGGGACCACTCAGGACAGAGGTTGCATACAGAAGAAAAATCAGCAAAAAACGGTTATGTGTTTCACTCCGTGACCCGAGCTTTCTTCACAATATCAGTCGGATTCCAAATTATTGATTCAGAAATACAAACATTGAACCCTGCATGGGATGCCTGGATATGCCCTGACAAAAACTCTATGTCAGTTATGCTTCCTCATCGCTCTTTTTTGATGCGCCGTATTCCTGATGGGTAATCCCTAACCGTGTGGTGTCTCTTCAATTTCACTTGAGCGTTGTAACTCTTTCCCCTATTGACAGCGAAACCTGTCCTTGCCGCTTATTGAATACCGGAAATCAGCAAACCAATGTGAAGGGAAAATTCCAGTTTAAAAGTCCTATTTCGCGACTAGATGACATAAAATTAAAAAGAAAGGAAATATAATCCTCTCTCAGCAAAGATCCATATAAAGAGATAAAAGAAGGTGAGACAGATATAAAAGAAACGTCAACAGTAACAAGAGGGAAGCACACCAGCATGCTGCAGTACATAATCGTCCAGACTAGTTTTTCAAGGAATCAGCTATTTTGAATGATGTCGGTCCTGACACGATGAGCAGTGGACGCGGCTTCACCGTTGTCGAGTTCGGAAGGCGCCATTTCATTTCAACTCTTCCCCATTTTCTCAAGTTTAGTCGGCTCTTTTTCATTTAGGCGTTTCGTTGTGAAAGGAGGTCATGATTGATGCTTAAAATTACATTTACGCCTACGGGTGTACCATTTAATTGTTCCCATCCAGGGTCGCATTCATTTTTACCCATGGTGGCAGTCCGCCAACCAGTGTACTTACACGGCTACCCACCGCTCTTTCCACATCTCCGGTCCCCGTCACATATACGTAGCATTGAGTAAGATCTTTAGCTTAGCTACCTAATCGTAAGTGGAGAAGAACGGTGCAGTCCAGTTCAACTTCATATGTTTCGCTTCCTGCAGTAAAGCTCCGCATTGCTTTTGTGCATCCTCTGAATCTGCATCATTTCTGGTGACAAAACTGTTGAAAGTGTAAATTAGCTTATCAACCATTGCTGGAACATGAACGGTGAACGTTTCGAGCATATCATATTCTTTGATTTGTTTTAATCGTAGTTATTCAACACAAAAGGGTTTACAGTTAGAACCAGAATGGCTTCCTTTGAGTAATTACCAGCTGGTTCAGAAAACCTTGACATTACCGTAATAATTACCATGCAGTACATAGGTTGCCTTTTATAATATTTCGAGATTTGAGAACAGAAACAAATACTATTTATTGAAAAACGCTTTACTGCCTTTCAAAGTTTTCCATATTAAGATCTGTACACTTTTGCATGGGCTCGACCCA